AGTTGAAGTTTTCGTTGGGACGGTTTCATAGGCGGTTTTAGATAACAAGACGCGGACGTCAAGAGGGCGTGAAAATGACGTATGCACCTCGCGTTCACTTCCGGGTTTTAATCTGGGACGGCTTGTTTGTCTTTTTCGAAGCAATTTTTTGTTTTCTTGTTACCTGTTCATTCCTGTATTGTTTTCAATCAGTTGTCAAGATATGTACAAGATAAGGCTATATAATACTGGTCAAGTGTTTCCTGATGAATTAGTATGAACATTCAATAAGTTTTTTTTTGAAAAAAACGTGCATTTCGGTATTTTGAAAAGTGAAATTTGTTGCATCATTTGGAATAAATACAATAGCTGCAGGTATTGTCTAGGAGCTCAATCAATCAAGTTTGTCAACTGTTCAGTACAAATATAGCATCAGTGTTTATATTAGTAAAATTTAATACTGTTTACTATAGTTTTTCACGCTGGAAAGCGCTTTTTTGCTTGCCATACTTTTTGCACTGTTGTGACAGAGCAACTAAAATTGATTGAGTTTTTACTGCTTTTATTTTTCTATTTTCCCACGTTTCCTGATTTTAAACAGTTGTTAATTTACTTCAGTTTAATTTGTTCTAAAATATTTGTTTTAGTGAAGATTACTAGCGGTATTGAAGTGGTTATTAACAATGCTTGCAGTTTTGTTGATTTGTTTATGGTGACCGAAAGTATTTGTCAAAAATCAACTTGTCTAAAATTTAGTGAAATACAAGAAAAACAACCTTGTCAATCGAAAAACTTTAGCTAGTATCATTAAAAAATAAGTGGGGAACAAAATAGGATGATTTTTATTGTGCATAGTCTCATATTTTTTTCAAAAGAAGAAAAATCTGTGACGTTCTAAAGAGGACGTGAGTAGTAGTAATATAGGTACCGATCGATCCGGATTTTTGAGGGTGCGTAAAGGTGCGTAAGGGTGCACTAATTAATATTCATACAAATGAGGGTGCGTAAGGGTGCGCTACCCTTGTAGAATCCGACATATTTATAACCTATTTTATACCTATTTTTTCTCTAATTAGCCCTATTTTTTCCGTATTTTTTCAAAAATATGACTATTTTATTACTATTTATCAAATTTCATAAAATAGTATATGACTATTTACACCCTATTTAAAATATAGGTTATTTATATTTTTCAAAGAAATAGCTTTGAAATAGATATTCAAATCCTATTTGAAAGAGTAATTGACGGAATCTCACTATAAAATAGCTTTTAAATAGCTATTTAATTCCTATTGATGACAGACGAGTCAGTTAAAATAGTTTTAAATAGCTATTTTTAAACTATTTTTGCTTATCTTCTTTGGAGCCATTTTCAAATAGCAAAATAAATAGATCTTAAATAGCTATAATAGCTATTTAATTACTATTCATGGAAAGTTATGCCGAAGTTTGTTCAAAATAGCTATAAAATAGCTATTTTTAAACTATGTTTACTTTTATTTTTGGAGTATTATTGAGTATTGTTAAAATAGTTATTAAATAGGAAAATAAATTGATCTTAAATAACTATTTAATTCCTATTCATAGAAAGTTGTGGCGACCTTTGTTCCAAATAGCTATTAAATAGCTATTTTTAAACTATGTTTGCTTTTATTTTTTGAATTTTTAGAGCCATTCTTAGAATAGTTATTAAATAGCAAAATAAACAGATCTTAAACAGCTATTTAATTCCTATTCATAGAAAGTTGTGGCAAATTTTGTTCAAAATGGCTATTAAATAGCTGTTTTTAAATTATGTTTACTTTTATTTTTAGAGCTATTGTTAAAATAGCTAATAAATAGCAAAATAATTAGGTCTTAAAAGCTATTTAGTTCCTATTCAAATAGAAAGTTGTGAGAATTTAGAAAGGGTAAATGTATTTATTTAACTGGTCAAAATTTCCCAGTTTGAGTTAATTAATTTTAAATTTTTTATCAGTTCATTGAAATTATATTTACAAAAATATTTATAGTCTTTGTGGACTTTGTGGAGGCAGGTATTTTGTCTCTTGACAAAGCAGCATTTTTGACAAAACACCATGAATACCACCAAAAATTCTCACAACGAGCGCGGACTGGTACCTAATTTTCTTACAACGCGCGCAAAGCTTTCTGGGATAGCGTCACAATTCACACCGCCATATTTTAAAACTTTTTTAGATTAAACTTCCCGCTCGAAATGGCTCAAATGCAGAGCTTTTATTGAGCGAAAGTGTTATTTATTTTAAGGATTAAACATCAGGGATGACTGGGTAACATCCAGATAAGAATGTTGTTATGTTTTATATATAAATAGAGCAATTTTGAAAGGAAATATTACTATCTTCATTCGTGAATTTTGAGCACATGTTCCGGCTTAAAATTTCAATTTGCTGCGACAGTATTTGAATTAAAACAAAATTAGTTTTATAGAAGGCTTACATTGCACTCAGCCTTTATATTTATAAATGATGTTTATTGTAATGCCAAATAGTATACTTTGACCTTTGTGTATACTATAGTGTATATGACAGATTGCCGGATTCCAGTGTTTGTTGTACAAAATAATATACCTTGGCATGATGGCATCTACTCAATTCTCATATGCCTACCCAGGCATGTCGCAGCTAAACATGGTTTGAGAAAATTTATCGACTGGTTTCAAATTAACTGGTACTTTCATAAGTTTCCAAAATTTATTCATATATAGGTGGGTCAGTTTAGGATAGATAAAAATATCAATTTGATGTGTTGTTGTCGTATGTGGCAACTTGATTATAGATGTGTCCCTAACTGGAAACAGTTAAAGTCCTTAGTTTGCTTGTTCAAACTTATGAATACATTTAGTTACATCACATGTCTTCATGATCTGCTTAATAATATATGTAACATCCTTTGGACTACATTTTATATATTTTAGAGACACCCCGGCAAGGGTTTGATTGTTTTTGGAATTACCCATTTCACTCCAATGAGCCCAATATTCAGCACTTTGTTATTAAACGTTACCTTGCCTAATGCCAGACAATTCTATTCATCAAGGGAAGTGTCTAGCTAGCGTATTAGACTCTGCCCATGTTTCATGTTGACCTATAACACTTCCTACTTAAGTACTTTGATATTATTATTTAACTCTGACATTTCATGCTAGACAATTTTACTTACCGACTGTGGCATGCTCGCCCGTATCTCACCTAAATATTAACACCTATAAAGGAGCAATTTGCTCTTACCTTACTTACTTGAAGAATGAAGTTCTTTGTAGGGGTGTGCAAGATAGAATGTTTTTGCTATCCAGCTGCATACAGGATATATGTTGGATAGTTGAAAAATATCCAGCTAGATTCAGGGTATTATTCAAATATATAAATGTTTTTTCTAGCCTGTAAAGAAGGCATGGACTTAGCTGCAGCTTCGCTTCGCCCTATTCTTGATGTTACATGATGTTCTTGCTTTTCTTCTGCCCAGTCCCCAGCCAGTTACTGTATGTATATACTTAACTCTTTGGCTACTATAGAGACTGCTAAGTACAGATATTTAACTCATTTATTGACAGACCTCTACCTGATAAGTAAAATTGTCTGGCATTTACAGACGGTAAATATAATTACTAAAGTAGGTCTGTAATAGTCTCTGATGTTTCAGCACTTCTACACTTGTTCTCAATTTCTTTTACTAATTATATTTTATTTAAAGACTATTTACATTGTATGTTTTAACTTTTTATTATCTAGTATGTTTTAACTACTGGTATTTATAATATATTTTAAAAATATTTATAGGCTATATGTATTTGTATACACTATATTTAATAATTATTTTAACTGTATTAACAGGACATATTTTAACTATTTATTTAATATGTTATTACTATTTTTTTTAACTATTTTTAATCTATCTGAGCAATATTATATCCACTATTTATTATCTATTTTTAACAATCCGGGATGTATTTTAACTATTTATTATCTATTTTTAAACTAATTATCACTATTTTTGAACTATTTATTATCTATTTTTAAACTATATATATTTTCACTATTTTTGAACTATTTATTATTTTTTTTAAACTATGTTATCACTATTTTTGAACTATTTATTATCTATTTTAAACTATAATATCATTATTTTTTAACTATTTATTATCTCTTTTTAAACTATATTATCACTATTTTTTAACTATTTGTTATATATTTTTAAACTATAATATCACTATTTTTGAACTATTTATTGACTATTTTAAACTTAGTTGAAACTCATTTCAGCTATTTATTACATATTTTAACCTATATTGTCACTATGTTTTAACTATTTCATACATATTTACTATGTCGATATTATATATTTTTAATAATTTCCTTAAATAGCTCTATTTTTATCATATTTGAAACCTATTTAATTTCTATTCGAGTACATCAATTAAGAATTTGTTTAGAAATATATCATGAATAGGAAAAAAATATGGTTCCACTTGGAAAGGAAAAAATAGCCTTTCTACCCTAATTTAAATAGGAAAAACCTCGAAAAGAAATAAGAGTAAAAATAGGAAATAAATACTTTGAAAAATAGGAATTAAATAGCCCAATAAGATAGGAATTAAATAGCAATTAAATAGTGTTTGATTCTACAAGGGTAATTAATATTCATACAAATGAGGGTGCGTAAGGATGCTGAGGGTGCGCTAATTAATACTCGTGCAAATGAGGGTGCGTAGTGACGTCACTCATCATTAACATACGTCATAATTATATGCAATGACGTCACGCGGGCGAGCTTAAACACGATCGGGCGAAACTTGCCGACTACGCATTTTTTAGCGTCCCCCACGTGTATGATACAATTGAGGGATTAATTTTGGCTTACTATGATTGGTTGTTTGATTTAACGAGCGTCTGTATAAAATCTACAAGCGTCTTGTAACAAGCATAGTTCTGCATTTGACAACGCTCTTACTGGAGGTCTTTTGGTGAAATTTATATTCGGAGAAAAGTACTTGGAAGAGAATGGCACAACAACATCGGGAGAATATTTGGTAAGTTTAATTTAAACTGAAAAAATAATATAATATCCAGAGTTTTGTGTATATAATCGACTTCTATATTTTGTAGGAGAGATTATTTCACGGCAGAGTTGGAAAATAATGAGGTCAATCGCCAGCTTTGTGCCGTGGACACATTTTCTTGGTCCCCTGAAACTCAAGAGCAGATTCTGTCTGAGTGGAATGATTGGCGACGAGACAGAAACCCTGGACATGGCTGCAATCACTGCGAAAAAGTATTCACGCGTCGAGCCGATTTGAAGCACCGCATTCAATCTCTTCAATTTGGAGAAAAGTCGTTTACTTGCGACCAATGTGGCAAATCTTTCGCAACGAAAGATAAACTAAACCACCACAAGAAGATACATGACAAGGGAAAAGTATACAAATGTGCAAGATGTCATAAGAAATTTGATCGAAAGGTTTGTAGAGATTTGTATTTATATATAAACCGTAACAAGTATATTTATAGACATTATACTACATGTTCTTTACAGGATAATTTGAACCGCCACATGAAAATGCACGAGAGACGTGGTGCCGAAAGGGAATACAACTGCAATATCTGCGGTGAGGTGTTCCGCAATACATACAGATACAGATATTTCACAGCACACTCCCTATATCAGGGCTTTTCAGTGACTGGTTACATTATGAATAGATAGATAGAACCGGACTGACGTGAAGCAGACCGAGGTAGACTTTGAGCTTACAAATGGCGCTTGAGCAGCTGC